AAGTTTTTAAAAGATCATTGTTAATATAATTTAAAAAATTATTCCTTACTATATTTTATCTTTAACTTTTTGGATAATTAGTGAATTCTAGATAAGTTTGAATTATTATTATATTATTACAGGTGCTCGCCACCACGCCTAGCTAATTTTTGTATTTTTAGTAGAGATGGGGTTTCACCATGTTGGCTAGGCTGTTCTCGAACTCCTGACCTCAGGTGATCTGGCCGCCTCAGCCTCTCAAAGTGCTGAGATTAAGGCATGAGCCACTGCACATAGCCATGTTATTTTATTTTAAAATTCCTTCCTTCCATCATGATTTATACATAGTTCATTCAAAGTAAAAATATCCAAATAACACAAAGACATCAGGATCAAAACTAGAGTATCTCTGAGGCTTTTCATCTTATGTGTTATCATGGAAATTTGTATATATTTACAAAGTAGAGAGAATCACCATTTTCAGAACTACTACTATTACCAACAGTTTGCCAGTCTTACTTCACATACTCCTCTTCCCTTTAATAAAGTATTATAAGGCAAGACCAAGACATCTTTTCTTTACATCCACAAAAACTTCAGTGTTCATCTCTGACTGATAAAAGCATATAAAAATGTATGGGGGTGGTAAGCTGGGTGCAGTGGCTCCCACCTGTAATCCTAGCACTTTGGGAGGTAGAGGCAGGTGGGTTGCTTGAGCTCAGGAGTTTGAGACCAGCCTGGGCAACATGACAGACCCTGTCTCTACTAAAAATACAAAAAAATAGCCAAGCATGGTGATGTGTGCTTGTGGTCCCAGCTACTTGAGGGGCTGAGGTGGGTGCATCGCTTGAGCCTGGCTGCTGGAGGTTGTAGTGAGCTGAGATCGTACCACTGCACGCCAGCCTTGGGGACAGAGCGAGACCCTGTCTGAAAAAAAGAAAAAGTATGGTGGGTGTAATCTTAGTAGGGATAAAGATCTTAAGATAAAATAATGAAGTATGCTGTTAACATTTCAGGAATCAGTAATCAGGTGTGAGAGTTGGAGCTGGGGATGAAGGATTAGGGGTCAGGGGCTTTCCCAGAGAGGCCAAACCATGCCATTTAAATGGCTGCCCATGCAGTCTAACCTCGACACCACGTGGTAGAGAAAGGACACAAAGTCAGAGACCAAAATGTGTTACCCTCTGTTGTGGTTGCTGCAACAATGCTCCAGGAAAGGTGTGTACTACCCTTGCCTGTCTCAGAACCTCCTGCCCTGGTGCACTGGGATAAGCCCATTCTAACCCTGTTTTATCACATCATTTCCTGCTGAAGAGCTTGCCAGGGTTCTCAGTTGCCCATGGGGACATTTTTCAAACAGCTCTAGGCTGGGAGTTGGTGAAGCCACAGAACAAACATAGCAGATCTTCCTGGAGTATCATTTTTGTACAAATATCTCAGGATAAATGTGAATTTTATGTGAAGACAAATATGACAATATTTTGAGTATTGAAATCCCTCATAGATAATTTTTGAGATAATCCTGTTACATTTGTCCATAGAGGTTTATCGAGATCTTTCCAAATATGTTCATTCAATTCCTGTGTAAGAGCATCAGTGTAATTGCTGCTACCCTGCCCATGTGCCAGATGGGAATCAGGGAAAAGAGACCTTTTTATGTTCTATTGTCTTTACAGGATGGGGCCTTGGGACAAATTTTTCTGAACAATTAGAGAAAATATTTGTGGAAAGATATAACCCAAAAGAATGGGTTTTGACACCAAGAACTCAGTTTATTTTTCAAACTAATGTCTTCTAGAACTTTCACTTACTAAAGAATCATGTCTCCCTCCATGCTCTAATGTTTTTTTTTCTTTTTAGAGATAAGATCAGCTGGAGTGCAATGGCCATAACAGCTCACTGCAGCCTTGATTTCCTGGGCTCAAGCAATCCTTCCACCTCAGCCTCCTGAATAGCTGAGACTACAGGTATGCACTACCATGCCCAGGTAATTTTTTAAATTTTTGTAGAGATGGAGTCTCACTATGTTGCCCAGGCTTGTCTCAAACTTCTGGCCTCAAACTATCCTCCCACCTCAGCCTCCCGAATAGCTGGGTATTACAGCTGCATGCCATCACACCTGGGTAATTTTTAAATTTTTTATAGAGATGGGAGTCTAGCTATGTTGCCCAGGCTGGTCTCAAACTCCTGGCCTCAAGTGATCCTTCTGCCTTGGCTTCCCAAAGCAGTGGCATTACAGGCATGAGCCACTGCATCCAGCCAACACTCTTCTTTTTTTTTTTTTAAATAACACTTTGGTCTCGTCAAAGTTTTATGAACCATAATAGTTACATTTTAAAAGCTCTGCCAAAGATTGTCTAGGCATATGTGTATAATAGAAAATTCGCATAAATTTTAAAAGTTAAAACATGACAGTTCAAGGAGATAGTGCATTTGTCCTGGGCTTCTTTGAAATGCCCCCAGAGATGGCCCATGGCAACAAATGCTACTAGAGAAGTACCTTCCGGGGAAACGTTTGAGAAACACTAATCATCCCAGCTTCACTACAACCAAGATTATCTGCTTGTTTTTCTTCACATTTACCTCTGATTTTGTACATAACAATTTTCTTCTAATGCAACCTCTCTTTCTCCAGCAATTAACAGCCTCTCAAATTCCCACCATAAAGAAGCATCTATTTGTTTATCTAAAATCATTATTCTCAACTGTATATCCTATCAAGATTTATGCACATAGGTTGACGGTGTTTGTGGTCACAGGTACTTGCTGACATGTTTATTTATTCACTGATTGATTCAACTAGCTTTATGGAACCTATGGTTCACAAGACACTATGTTGGGCATAGCAGGTATGAAAAAGAACCAGACATGAAACCTGTGGATGAGGACAGTATGGCCAAAGGGAAAAAAGACCCAGATTCCTTCAATATACTGTAGGGCATGGTCAGGGAAATAAGTCTGTGGAACCATTGAAAACATATGGAACATCCTCCCTATGGAGGGCTTTCCTAAGCTGCATCTTGGATTGGCACTCAACAATGACTTTAATCAACTCAGTCCTGACTGTCCAAGGAAAATGACTGAATTTTCTTTTTTGTTTGTTTGTTTCAATGGTTTCTCTGTAGGCCTGTGGGGGAAGATCCTATGGAACCACAGAACACCACACAGGTATCAATGTTTGTCCTCTTAGGGTTTTCACAGACCCAGGAGCTCCAGAAATTCCTATTCCTTCTGTTCCTATTTGTCTACGTCACCACCATTGTGGGAAACCTCCTTATCATGGTCACAGTGACTTTTGACTGCCAGCTCCACACACCCATGTATTTTCTGCTCCGAAATCTAGCTCTCATAGACCTCTGCTATTCCACAGTCACCTCTCCAAAGATGCTGGTGGACTTCCTCCATGAGACCAAGACAATCTCCTACCAGGGCTGCATGGCCCAGATCTTCTTCTTCCACCTTTTGGGAGGTGGGACTGTCTTTTTTCTCTCAGTCATGGCCTATGACCGCTACATAGCCATCTCCCAGCCCCTCCACTATGTCACCATCATGAACACTCAACTGTGCGTGGGGCTGGTGGTAGCCACCTGGGTGGGGGGCTTTGTCCACTCCATTGTCCAACTGGCTCTGATACTTCCACTGCCCTTCTGTGGCCCCAACATCCTAGATAACTTCTACTGTGATGTTCCCCAAGTACTGAGACTCGCCTGCACTGATACCTCCCTCGTGGAGTTCCTCATGATCTCCAACAGTGGGCTGCTAGTTATCATCTGGTTCCTCCTCCTTCTGATCTCTTATACTGTCATCCTGGTGATGCTGAGGTCCCACTCAGGAAAGGCAAAGAGGAAGGCAGCTTCCACCTGCACCACCCACATCATCGTAGTGTCCATGATCTTCATTCCCTGTATCTATATCTACGCCCGGCCCTTCACCCCATTCCCCATGGACAAGGCTGTGTCCATCAGCTACACAGTCATGACCCCCATGTTCAACCCCGTGATCTACACTCTGAGAAACCAGGACATGAAAGCAGCCATGAGGAGATTAGGAAAGTGCCTAGTGATTTGCAGGGAGTAAACTTTAAGTAAGTTGACTTCAAATGACAAATTTCTCTGGATTTTTGTTTTCCCATGTGAAAAATGGAGGAAAGTCTTTAGAAAGCATAACAAATCAGATTACACTTATATTTCTTGAGGACCTACTGCTGTGTCAAGTACTGTGTTAAGCACTTCCACGCTTTTTTTTTTTTTTTTTTTTTTTGATGGAGTCTTGCTCTGTCACCCAGGCTGGAGTGCAGTGGTACAATCTCTGCTCAGTGCAACCTCCACCTCCCGAGTTCAAGTGATCCTCCTGCCTCAGCCTCCCGAGCAGCTGGGATTACAGGCACCCACCACCATGCCCGGCTAATTTTTGTATTTTTAGTAGAGACGAGGTTTCACCACATCGACCAGACTAGTCTCGAACTCCTGACCTCAGGTGATCACCCGCCTTGGCCTCCCAAAGTGCCGGAATTACAGGCGTGAGCCACAGTGCCCGGCCTAACACTTCTACACTTTTATCTCATTCTTTTAATGAAACCGACAGTAGATATATTATTGTTGTTGTTAAATTAAACAGTTTTTACAAATGAGAGAACTCAGAGAGAAGTGACTTGCTCAAAGGTGAACAGTAAGTGAGTGGCAGAGCTTGCCCTGGAACCTGGTTCTTCTGACTCCAAGTTTAGAGGCAAGAAATAGGAATGGGATTTGAAACTCAGAGTTCCCTGCGACGACAAGAGAAAACCTGGAGAGGTCTTCATCTATAGAGAAGTATCTGTGATGAATGGTCAACTGCTTCATCTTAACTCTGAAACAGTTACATTCTTTTCTACTCCCCACCTCCCTACCTCATTCCCACTGTGGAATTTAGAAAGTTATCTCGCCCTCCCGTCTCCCTGGCAAAAAAGTTTGAGTCGCCGCTCCCGGGTTGCCCGCAGAGTCGCGCGTCGGGAGCTACGTAGGGCAGGGAAGGCATAGCTTCTGTTTTCGTCGGATGAGGAGGGCCCAGCGGTGGGGGTCGGGCCGGGTCGGGCCTGGGGATGCCCAGGCGGCCGCAGAGGAGCGCCGCGTCAAGGTCTCCAGCCTGCCCTACAGCGTGGACCCGCTGGTGTCCGACAAGAAGCCGCCCAAGGAGGCATCCCCAATGCCCGCCGAAAGCGCCTGGGCCGGGGCCACCCTGCGGCCACTGCTGCTGCTGGGGCTTCGCGCTGCGGAAGCGCACAGCCCGGGGCAGCCGATGAAGCCCTTGGAGACCGCCTGGGTCAAGTCGGAAAACTCCCTAAGACCGAGCGGCGTGTATGCAGGAACCCGGTCGATATTCGCCCCGCCAAGACATATGAGCCCTACCACCTGCACGCTGAGAAAACTCAAGACCAATCCGAAGCCGCGCACAGCTTTACCAAGTCCCAGCTCCTCGCTCTGGAGCGCAAGTTCCGCCAGAAACAGTACCTCTCCATTGCAGAGGGTGCGGAGTTCTCCAGCTCTCCGAACCTCACAGGGACTCAAGTCAAAATCTGGTTCCGGAACCGAAAACTGCCGGAGTCAGAATTGGAAAAGCTGAAAATGACTGCAAAACCCATGCTATCCTCCAGCTTCAGTCTCCCTTTCCCCATCAGCTCGCCCCGGCAGGCAGCGTCCATATACGGGGCATCCTACCCGTTCCATAGACCTGTGCTTCCCATCCCGCCCGTGGGACTCTGTGCCACGCCAGTGGGATATGGCATGTACCACCTGTCCTAAGGAAGACCAGATCAATAGACTCCATGATGGATGTTTGTTTCAAAGGGTTTCCTCTCCCTCTCCAAGAAGGCAGGACCAGCCAATACTCCTGCTCTGCACACCCTGTGTGCACCACCCTAAGCGGCTAGGCCGACAGGGCCACACGACATAGTTGAAATTTGTTCTTTAGGCGGAGGCACCAAGCCTTGTTTTCTTGGTGTAATCTTCCAGATGCCCCCTTCTCCTTTCGCAAAGAAAGGCTCTGATGGTTTTTAATGTATAAATATACATAATAAAACATAATACATTTTTATACAGTAGATATAAAAATTCAAATTATTTTAAAAGGCAACATTTATATACATATGTGCTTCTTTTTCTATATATCACCTTCTTAAAGAGACTGTGTAGGTCCATTTGTTGTATTTTCTTAAAGAGGGAGACAAATTATTTGCAAAATTTGATAAAGTCAATGATTTCGATGGGATTATTGACTTCTGTTTATGGAAAACAAATATTAGAATTGGACACAATGCACATAGAAAGTATTAGATATGGAGAGATTATTCAAAGTGAAGGTGACACATCACATTTCTGCATTTTGCTTGCATTAAAAGAAACCTTTTTATATACTATCGTATTTGTTCCTATCTCTTCCCACCCTCACCCCACCACACACACATTTTCACAGTTTTACCTTTTTAAAGAATTTTTTTGTAAGACCAATAACTGGGATGAGAAGAATCCTGAGAATGCCTAGAGGTGACATAGAAAATTAGAAATATTTCCTAATTCTTCTCAAGGCTGTTTCTTTACTTCATTTCAGATAATTGGAGAGTAAAAAGTTAAAGCCTGCTGGGAGGAATTGATGGTTTCTGAGAAACACTAGGTACACTCATCCTCACAGATTGCAAAGGTGATTTGGGTGGGAGGGTATAGTAATTTTCTGCTTAAAAAATGAGTACCTTGTAATCATTACCTATGTGCTAAATATTCTTGAACAATTAGTAGATCCAGGAAGAAAAAAAAAATGCTTTCTCTGTGTGTGTACCTGTTGTATGTGCTAAACTTATTAGAAACTTTTAGATAATTTTTAACATGTTGGGGGCAGAAAATAAAGCCATGTTTTGACTTGGTGAAGATGGAGTTGCCAAACAGCCCATTAAGCTCCCTGATATTTCACCTTCCTCTCCATCTCTCCCTTCCCTCCAGTATGCCTTTACCCCTTTGAAAGGACGCCTTGTACAATTTTATATATTTTATTGAAGAATTATTATCTCTTATTCTGAATTAAATTAACATTTGTTTTATTGCAAAAAGAGAAGAAAAGAAAGTTATCTCACTTTTAGCATTGTCTAAATAGTTCCCCAGAAGGCATTTGCCCTTTGTTTTTGTTCCTTCTTTACTAAATACTCCTTGGATAATCTTCACACTGTGCTACTTAGCTGAAATGGCTTAAATATGTCCCCTTCAGAATTTAGGTATTGAAATTTAATGGTCAATGTGATGGTGTTAAGAGGCGAAGCCTTTAAGAGATGATTAAGCCATGAGGCTTCCTCCCTTATTAATGGGATTAAGGCCTTTATAAAAGAGATTTCATGCGACATCAGGCTCGCTAGCCCTTTGGTCTTCTGCCATATGAGGACACAGCATTCCTCCCCTCTGGAGGATGCAGCAACAAGCTCTCATCTTGGAAGCAGAGAACAGGCCTCACCAGACAACCGAACCTTTTGGCACCTTAATCTTGGACTGTCCAGCCTCCAGAACTGCAAAAGAATAAATTTCTGTTCTTTACAAATCATGCAGTCTGTGGTATTTCATTATAACCACACAAACAGATTAAGGCATTACCCAACACAATCTTTCCATCATTTGTATAGTATGGCTGAGAGGAGGATGGCATAGTATAATTGAGTGACCAAGGCCAGAGAGGGCAGGGCCATGCCTACTAGTGTTCCAAATCTGGAGTAGTGAATTCAGTTCCAAGGCTACTACTTCATGTGTTTCTGCTTTTCTCTTTAAGTGGAATGAGAGCTTCTTGAGGGCAGGTGCTATGCATTATTCATCTTTAAATCCTCCCAGCACCTGAAGGGTACCTGACAGAGAGAGGAAGTATTTTTACTTTTTTCTTTTTTTAACATTTTTCCAGCTTCCTATACTTTCCCTCTGTCAATTTCTGTATATTTATTTCTTCCATCTTCCTTGGGGTGTGCATCATTTTGTAAAAGTCTCAGGCAATGTGTAATAT